CTCAATTTAAAGATATAATACCCGAATTCTCGTTATGTTATTCATACGATGATGCTACTATACAGTCAATTAATTCCTCTTATCATTAATTTCACGTTCGCTGGCCAATTAAAATTATTCGACCAATTATCGCACCAACGAGGACATCGAGAGTGAAACGCGATAAAACAACCTTCGTTTCGTCGAAACCGGTTGCAAACTCATGAATCGTGGGGATATTTCGTGGACGCAATTAGATCTCTGAAAACTGCATTCCAATTAACGCCCCCGTACTGTGGTTCACTGTCACGGTTCGCGAGAATATCTTGCTGCTTTAGATTCATTGCTAATTAGTATTATCAGTGTAAAAGAACATTTGTATTATAAAAGCATTGGGTGGTGATTATATGACTAATGTGGTTAGATTAGGTTAGGTTAAATGTGGTGGTATATACCTAAATTAGCAGATGGACGTCTTTTGTCTAGATGTTTATATTCATAGATATGTAGACATCTGGATGTTTACACAGTTAGTTCACGTGTTTACACTTCTAAATCTCTAGATGTCTACATATTTGTATTTCTAGATACACAGACTAGTTTTAGGTAGTTTGGTTATTTATAATTCTAGATTATTGGATTGGTAAGGTATTTCTAGAAAGGTGTACCTCTACTAGATTTCTATACATATATTAAAATCCTAGATCTCTTCATACCTGCATCTCTACAAATATTAGTATAGGTTAGGTTCTCCGTATCCCTATATTTCGAGGTTGAAAGATTTCTATATCTTCTAACAATAAGATATGTTCCATGATACCTGTGTCCTAGTACTTATGTCTTCCAAGGTTCCTATATTAAGATTTGTTGTGTTTCAATATGTTCCAAGATTCTTATATCTCAAGATACCTGTGTCCCAAGGTCTGTATGTTCCAATATCTTTATGTCCCAAGATTCCTATAATCCAAAATCTCTATATCCCACAATTGCTACGTTCCAAGATTCCTATAACCCAAAATTTCTATATCCCACAATTGCTACGTTCCAAAATTGATATATCCTAAAATCTCTATATCCTCAAATTGCAACGTTCCAAAATTGTTATATCCCCAAATTCCTATGCCCCAAAAACCTTACACCCCAAAATCAGCACGTTCCAAAATTGCTATATCCCGAAATCTCTATATCCCAAAGTTGCTACGTCCCAAAATCGTTGTCCCAAAATCTCTATATCCCTAAAATTCCTATGTCCCGAAAACCTTACATCCCAAAATCTCTATATCCCTAAATTTCTATCACCTAAAATCTCTAAACCCCAAATTCCTATGTCCTGAAATCTCTAAATCCTCAAATTCCTGTCCTGAAATCTCTAAACCCCAAATTCCTATGTCTTGAAATCTCTAAATCCTCAAATTCCTATGTCCTGAAATCTCTAAACCCCAAATTCCTATGTCCTGAAATCTCTAAATCCCCAAATCCCTACATTCCAAAATCACCACCCCAAAATCTCCATATCCCCCAATTCCTGTGTTCTGAAATCCCCATAATTCCCAAAATCCCACCACCCCAAAATCCAACTTCCCACAACTAAAAATTCCCATCCTCCCCCAGAATTAACCCTCTCCCCGAAATTCTCCACTTCTCTACTCACCAAAATTCTCCCACATTTCTCTCTACCAAAAGCACTTCGCCACCGAAACGCAATTAACCAAACATAAACAAAAAAACCCACCGAATCAGCGAAAAACGTCCATGTTTTTATCGTCAACGGTCCACGTTGCGCAACAAATTACAATGAATCTCGTTTCACCCATCCAGGGAATACTCGCGGAGAATAATTCTGGCAGGAAAGTACGTAACACGATTTACGAGCGAGATTTTCAACGATTTATACCGTCTGGACAAGATTGTTGTTCGAACACCATTTAAATCGTACCACGACCGGTATTGTTCTCGGTCAATGGCGAGCCATTTTTCACGGGGATATTAGGTGCACGGATCGAAAGCAGAATGGCTAGCTGGGCAACGTTCCAAACGGTTCAATGACGCCCACTCGGGAAAACTTACGCAACCAGCTCGATGCAACAGAAAAACACGTTCATTCATAATTCGAGCCATCGGTCGATTCGACTCGTCATCCAGCTGTTCTCTTACGGTTATTTTTAACGCGTGTCACATTCACTGCTTTGGTATTCGAAGTATTTCTTTTTCACCGACATGGTTCAATATTTACCGACTTTCACATGCTTTTCGGATGTTTGTCGGTTTGAAACCTTTGTTAGATTTTTGTGGAGACACGTTTTTGAAGAGTTTATGATTATTAGGTATTTTGTAATTTTTATTAGATGTTTAGATATTTTTATTAGGTGTTTACATATTTTTTTGAAATTTGGTGTTGCAAGTCTGTGGGCATAAGTAATTGTACTGAGGCGATATTGGAGCAGAATTTGGTTAATTTTGAAAATTCATGTAATTCAATAAATTTTGAAGAGTTTATGATTATTAGGTATTTTGTAATATTTATTAGGTGTTTACATATTTATTTGAAATTTGGTATTGCAAGTCTGTGGGCATAAGTAATTGTACTGAGGAGATATTGAAGCAGAATTTGGTTAATTATGAAAATTCATGTAATTCAATAAAGTTTGAAGAGTTTATGGTTATTAGGTATTTTGTAATTTTTATTAGGTGTTTACATATTTATTTGCAATATGGTATTGCAAGTCTGTGGACATAAGTAATTGTACTGAGGCGATATTGGAGCAGAATTTGGTTAATTATGAAAATTCATGTAATTCAATAAATTTTGAAGAGTTTATGATTGTTAGGTATTTTGTAATTTTTGTTAGGTGTTTAGATATTTTTATTAGGTGTTTACATATTTATTTTAAATTTGGTATTGCAAGCATGTGGACATAAGTAATTGTGCTGAGGAGATATTGGACCAGAATTTGGTTAATTACGAAAATTCATGTACATTCAATAAAATATGAGAACATTACATAATATTGTTATTTTATATATTTGCAACGTGATGCAGTATTATATTTGCATATCGATATGTAATTCGACAACCATAACCTATATGTATTTCAGTCATTCATTACATAACCTCTTCTATAAACTACATAACCTATTCTAAAGAAGATTTTGAACTCTTTTTAGATGTTTAACTTTAACTAAACTTTTTCATTAAAACATCGATACCGTGATTGCGTTTTCACGGGCACATCTGCCCGTCAGATTAAATCCGAGGCTTGCAAACATTGCTGAAAGCCGCGATTTCAACGAAACTTGTTGAAATAATGAGTCAGACTTGGACCAAAAGGACGAGCCGTTCACGTAACGACACATGTAACAGCTGACGTAACGAGTTGTGGGACAAGTTCGCGGTGAAACTTGTTTCAATGCTGTAACGAGCACGTTGACGCAAGAATCAAAGTCTGGGTCAATGTTGCTGTCCCCCAGGCTTCAACCTTCTCGACTTATCGCGTGGAACGATTGTTGCTGCTTTGAAATTTAGTTGAGATCAAAAGCAAATTGTAAATTATTCTGTTCTGAATTATTAATGATAATTAGAATTACTGTTATGATTATCAGAAGGGTGGAGTGATGCTTTTTTTATCAGAATGTTACTTTACAATTAGAGTGTTCTTCAACTAGAGTGTTGCTCTCTAAACAGATTAAAAATGTATAGTAAAATGACAATGTTCATATAAATGCAATTTTATTTTACTTATGATAAAAACAATGACAAAATGAAAAATTCAGAAGGCATTAAAAATGTGCAATAAAATGATAATGTTCATATAAATGCAATTTTATTTTACTTATGATAAAAACAATGACAAAATGAAAAACTCAAAAGACATTACAAATGTATTATAAAATGATAATGTTCATATAAATGCAAATATATTTTACTTATGATAAAAACAATGATAAAATGAAAAATTCAGAAGATATTAAAAATGTACTATAAAACGATAATGTTCATATAAATGCAAATATATTTTACTTATGATAAAAACAATGACAAAATGAAAAATTCAGAAGGCATTAAAAATGTGCAATAAAATGATAATGTTCATATAAATGCAA